CACCTCAGCCTCCCAAAGGTGCGGGATTACAGGCTGAGCCACCGAGCCCGGCGTGAATTAATTTTTTTAAAACCATAATTATGGCTGGGCGTGGTGGCACGTGTCTGTAGTCCCAGCTACTCAGAAGGCTGAGGTGGAAGGATGGCCTGACCTCAGCAGGTCGAGGCTGTGGTAGCCATGAGTTTGCCACCGCACTCCAGCCTGGGCGACAGAGGAGACTCTGACTCAAAACAATAAAAAATAAATAAAAACATAATTATGGGTGCTTCAGTTCAAGGTCACTCAGAAAGTGCGAGTCGGGATTGAACCCCCTGCTGGACTTTGAGTGGGAGTAGAATGTTCTGGACTCTCTCCTTGTGACTCTGAGCTTCCGCTTTTATTATTCTTCCAGTGTCGGAGCTCCTCTCACTCAAGGCTGGGCCTCCACCTCCTGCGGGGGCTCTCATTCCAGAGACCAGGACAGAGCAGAGGAGGCCTCGACAGGGATGGGCCCCCAGGCCCGCGCCTTGAGTGAGGTTAGCACCCCCCCCATCCGGTTCCCCGAGGGCAACCACCATTGCCTTGCTCTGTGTCCCTGGGACTAGCGCTTGATAAGGCGTTGGAGGGAGACCCGGCACCAGGCAGCCTCCCCAGCTGTGCGACTCGGCCGAACGAGGGGGAAAGTGCCTCTGCCCGGGGCGTGGACCGAACGTACAGGTGATCGGTACCCTTATCAGCGCTGCCGTCACTGTCGCCGAATGTGAGACACCCCTCCCCGCCAAGGCCAGTGATTGCGCCACAACTCCCGCGCGCTTGCAAGCGGCTGACGGCCAGGCAAGGCGGGGCGGGAGGTGAGGGGGAAGAGGGCGTGCTCGCGCCCACGAGTCCAGAACTCACCCGTGGTCTCCAGCAACAAGGGCGGGGGGCGCCCGCCGTCCCTCCCGCACTCCCTCGGGGCACCCTGCTCGCCGCGTCCTCGAGGGCTCCGGGCTTCCCCGAGCCGCCCCCCGCGACGCCGCCATTCATTCCTCCTACACAGCCATCGCGGCGCCGGCCGCCGGGGCCGGGGAAGCCGCAGGACGCGGCGGGCGCTGAGTCTGGATTTCCGCGCCCGCAGCGGGGCTGACGGGGGCGGGTGTCCGCCCTGGGGTGCGCTGCGCCGGCCCAGTTACTAGGACCCCTCCTAGGAGAGACCAAAATGCCTCGAATCGGGAGACGAGACACAGGCGCACACAGCCACAGGGGCCGGGCATGAGACAGGGACGAAAAGGCAGACACTGAAGGGGCAGACGTGGACAGAGACCGTGACACAGCGCAGGAGACACGGGGCGCGGAGCAGAGACACAGACACAGAGATACACACAGATGGGCAGGGACACACACAGAAGGGCCTTCGGAGCGCGCAGACCCCGACAAGTTACTCCAGCCCAGCAGAACCAGAGGGATGCGAGAACGCGCCGCCGGCGAGGGCAGCGTCCTCCGGCCCGAGCTCTTCCCGCGTCCCGCGGGGTCGTGCCCTCCACGCTCCTCACCCACTGCCCGTTCCCATTCACCCTCCAGCGCGGGTCCCGCGGCCGCCTTCCGGCCCCAGTGCGCCCGGCCCGCTTTCGCCCCGGCCCCCTGGCCCGCCCCCGCGAGCCTCGGCGTCAGACTTTCCCGCCACGCCCCTGCCACCCGG